AAGAGGCTGCTGGGGAGTTCAGCTTTCCAGCAAGAAGAGATCCAGCAAGGGGACCCAGTCAGCAGAGGACCACTCCTCTCTTTTCTCTTCTCTGTCATGTCCTCTGCATGGTTCTGGGACTCTTAGCAGCCCTGTTTCCCAGCACTCCTCTTCCTGTTCCCTTCAGACCTTCCCTCTCCCCCCTCCTTCCCCGCCCCGTCTCTCTCAGAACAGCTGCTGTTTGGCTCTGTCTATATTTAGCACTGCCTCTTATTTCCCACCTCTCTCTGTAATTACAATAAAGCTGCAGGGGGGTGGAGGAGCCTCTTCTAAAGACTTCTTGGCCTAAGCTCAGCAGGAGGGGCCGACCCCACCGGGCACCCCCACCCCAGGCCATCGGGCTGCCCCAGTACCCTCCCATCTGCCCCTGGCAGGGTGGCTGGGGCCTGGGCATTGAGTGGGGGTGGCAGGCTTGTGTCTGTGCATGTTAATGAAGGCGCACGTGGTTTTACAACAGGCTGGGAAAAGAATCGGGGGTGTCAGCAGCTGAGTCACCCGCAGGCCAGGCTCATTCAGAGTGTGCCAGAGCGCTCCCAGTGATTCACGTCTGCTCCCGGCATGGCCATGCCAGTGGGGCCTGGGGACCACAGGTGACAGGCAGCACACAGGCCGTGGCTGATGGTTACCTCCCTCTGGCACTGGCCTTGCCTGGCCTCATCAGTTCTAAGGGGGATCATCAACCCCTTCCCTGGGACTGGCAGGGGGACCAACCCCTGGGCCCTGCACTCTAGGCTCAGATTGCTTCCCTGGATGTCAGTAAGGGTGCAGTCAGGAGGTGATGCTGCATTGTGTACTTGATACCTGACCCTACAGCAGTGGCTGAGTGGTGGGGTCAGCACCTCCTGACCTGAGGCTCTGGGCTCCTCCTGACCTGTGATGCTGGGGCAGGGCAGGGGACATAGTAAGGATTGGAGATGCTTCGTGGTGCCCCCTTTGATGACTGGGGACCAAGAAGTCACCCTGCTGGCCACTGACCACAGGGCCTTCACTGCTCCTGCAGAGCAGCACCTGCCAGGGCCCAGACTGGATGGATTAGCAGACCAAATGTTGGCGGCACCCAGTGAGTCCTAGTTTGTTTGCAGCCCCGATCCAACCTCTTGCTTAGGGAGCAACCTCCCACAGCAAATCAGGAGTCCCTGTTGACAGAACAGTGAGACAAGGCTTGGGGCTAGATCGTGGGGACAGTTGAGGGGGAGGTGATTCTTGGGTCCTCAACAGAGAAGGAGGGAGGGCGGGAAGGAGACCTGCCAACTTCCAGATCCTGGTCATTTTTCTTGGCCCTGGTTTGACTATAGCCCTCTGGGATGCTGTGTCCAGCAGGCTCCAGGCTGCACTCTGGCCCCGGGATGCAGTTGGCCTCTGCTCCCCCACCCCCCCAGTGGACACAGTCCCTGAGGCTTGGTTCTGCTTCCTCCCCAGCAGTCGACGTGAAGCCAGCGCTGCCTGTGGCCATGCCAAACTCCTCCTGCAGCAGCACCCCAGTGGACCTGCGGACGGAGGCCCGTGCCAGCCTGCCCAGCGTGGACCCCACAGTGCGGGAGCAGCAGCTGCAGCAGGAGCTGCTGGCCCTGAAGCAACAGCAACAGCTGCAGAAGCAGCTGCTCTTTGCAGAATTTCAGAAGCAGCATGAGCACCTGACCCGGCAGCACGAGGTCCAGCTGCAGAAGCACCTCAAGGTGAGGCTCCTCATGGCTGGACCTGCCAGCCCTTCCTACAGCCCGCTTGCTGCCTCTTTGCTACCCTGTGCTGTGACAGCTGGGGTGGCGGCCCTGTTATAGCTCCCGAGCTAAGTAGGCTTGGGCCTGGGTAGCCCTTGAAGGGGAGTCAAAGGGTTGTAGGGAACACACTACTGGCTGGCCTCCATCTCCTGGTTGGTTCTGGGGCCAGTTGTCTCTGAGGAAGGTGTGAGGTACCGTTGAGTGTTCAGCAGTGACCTGAGCAGGGGGGTGCTTTTCTTTTTGAGCCAGACCTGAGTTACGACATTGATGCAAGTTCTATTGTGAGTTTATGTCCTGAAGCATTGGTCCGTCTTCCTCAAAGCTCCAGCTCCTGGTGTCACATGGTTAGGTGAAAATCTTGACTTTATTTGGAAGTCCAAGCCATCCTCCTTCCACCCACTCTGGCAAAGCCAGGCTGTGCTTGGCAGGACAGTCTAAGTTAGCTTTCCCAGCAGCCTTTGTGGCTGAAGGGGGTTGGCTGGAGCTGTGCTGAGATTCAGTTGCCCTGCGTTGGTTGAATGGAGCTGTGCTGAGATTCAGTTGCCCTGCGTTGCTTGTGGCTTCTTGGTGTCCTAGCCATTCCTGGCTGTACCTCTTGGGAAGCTGGCACTGACAACGCAGTTTGAGTCTCTTAGGATCTTCTAGGGCTTCAGTTCACCCCCTCGCTCCCTTCCTGACCTCAGGAAAATCATTGGCATTGCCTCCCCCATTTTCCACCTCAGGTAACCTAGCCAGGTGGCAGGGAAAAGAGCTGGGAACTTAGTGCTACCTCCAAGCTGCAACAGTCTGCTGCAAGGGCCTGTTACACCCCCAGCTCTGCCACTGGCTGGCAAGGCTCAGCCTGGCTCAACCTTGCCTCCACCCTGAAGATGGGGAGGTTGCTACTAGCATGGCCTTTTTCTCCATTGGCTTCCAGTACCCATCACACTGTGGGCCCTAGGGCACTGCAGCCCATGGGCTGGTGCTGTAAAATACCTGGTGGCAAAAGGGCAGGATAACCTGGATCCCCCATCTAGCTCCCCCTCCCCCAGACATCTCCCTGGGATCACATTGATTGGGCCCTTTCTCCCAGCAGCAGCAGCAGGAGATGCTGGCGGCAAAACGGCAGCAGGAGCTGGAGCAGCAGCGCAAGCGGGAGCAGCAGCGGCAGGAGGAGCTGGAGAAACAGCGGCTGGAGCAGCAGCTCCTCATCCTCCGCAACAAGGAGAAGAGCAAAGAGAGTAAGAGCTAGTGAAGCTGGGGCTGGTAGAGCCAGTGCTTCCTGCCCCAGCTTATTTTTGCTTGTACTTTTGTCCTGGTTGACCACAAGTCCACATTATTTTTTGAACTATGCCTGGCCAAGCCCAAAAAATCAGGCCATTTACCAGATAGGCACAGGCTGCCCAGGTCATGCGAGGCTGCGTCTGCCACATGGGCACCCAGCTGGAAGTTCCAAGAGAAAAGGGAAAGCAGTGCAAGGTGGAGCTTGCCCTCATCTTTGGTGTGGGTGGGAAGACTTGGGAGAGCTCAGCTGTCAGCCTGCAGTGTGCTAGGCCTGAGGTAGAGTGTTACATTCTGGGAGATGGTAGCAGTGGTGGCCTGGGTGGGACTGTGGCAGGGGCATGTTTTGCATCTGCCTTGGCTTTGGGTTATGAGATGAAGAGATCTAGTTCTGGTGCCTGGCTTGGAGCTAGGTTTAAATAAGAGCCAACCTGCGGGGGCTGTGACCACCTCCCTCTTTGCCAGACTTGGGCAGGGGGCATTGGTGATTCAGCCCTGGCCCATTCACTCCTCAGCCCAGGAACCAGCTGAAAGTGTCAGCATGTGCTCTGCCAGGAGGGCTGGAGAGCCTTGCCCTGAGGGCTGTGCTCAGGGAAGGGTGGCTGGCCTTAGACTAGCCCATGGACATGTCCTGTGTGTCTACAGGTGCCATCGCCAGCACAGAAGTGAAGTTGAAGCTTCAGGAGTTCCTGCTCAGCAAGTCAAAAGAGCCGATAGCAGGCAGCCTCAACCATTCCCTCCCACAGCACCCCAAATGCTGGTAGGTGCCCAGTGGGCACAGCAAGCCTCTTCTCACCAAGAGATGAGGGTGGGCGGAGCAAGTGGCAGGTGAAGTGGGTCAGGCCTCTCCTCACAGGAGCCTGCCCTCATGATTGGCACAGGGCTTGGATCCAGTGTTGCAGTGGCTTGTTCCTGACTTTGCAGTGGGGTGTGGTTCAGTGGCTGGAGCTGGGAGTCAGGACACCTGGGTTCTCTGCTTTGGGGAAGGAGTGTGGTGGGATGTGGGTCACTTAAAGCTTCTGAGGGGCAGAGCTGGGGGGTTGAATCCAGGTCCTGACTCAGTTCCTCTTGCAAGCCATAGGAGTTACATGGCCTCCTAGGGCTCCCTGTCTTTCCAGGCTAGGTGAGGCCTGCCTGGTGAGCGGTGGGAACTTGCTGCAGGTTACATACAGGCCATGTGTGTTCTGGTGTGTCCGTGAGTGTAGTTCCCCATAATGGCACTCTGAAGGCATGGGGATGCAAGGAAGTAATGGGAAAGCAGGATCAAGACAGTTGGGCTGCAAGCGGTTTCCTGGGCCTTCACTGCACACAGAGCGGGGCGGGGGGAAGCCTGGTGGATGGCTCTTACATCAGCCTTCATCTCTGGCTCAAGGCACAGCCTGGCACACTCAGTGGCTAATTGCATTGCACTGACCTGGTCCACTTCCTGAGCTGGGGATGCTTAGGGTGTAAATCCACTTAGCCAGCTCAAGCAGAGCCTAGGTTGGCTGCTACTGCCTATCTGCTTCCTTCCTCCCTCCCTCCCTCCCTCCCCCTTTGCACTCTGAGCCCTTCCTCCCTGTGAGTCCCTGATTCTGCCCCCATCTGCATGGTCTGAGTGCAGTGGAGCGAGGGCTCTGATCACCCAGGACCCCTGGGATCCTACAGAAGCTGTTAAACCCCAGTCTAGCCTTGATGCTCTCCACGGCTGCTCCATGGAAGGAACTGGGCCTGCCACCATCATAAGAGGAGGCGGGGTGTTGGGAGGAGGCATTTGTAGCCTCCAGGCATGGGGAGAGCCTGGCATGGTCTGGGATTGGAGCCAGGGCTGCCCTGGGTTTTTCACTATGACTCTCATCCATGTCACAGCCTTGGCTGGAGCCAGCTGTGTCTGCTGTGCTCTTGGAGGTGGACATTGATAGCCATGTGCACTGGACCTGTTTCTCCTGTGTGCTTTTAATGATGCTGGGGAGGTGATCAGGTGGTGACAGGGGATCAGAGGAGCATGGGCCTGGCAGGTCACTTCTACTCATCCCCCTGCCCCAGACAGAGGCAGCTATGTCTAAACCAGCTCAGTCGAGTGCATGTCCAGCTGCTTTTAAGCACTGCCAGTGAAGAAGACTCCCCAGCCTCTCTAGGGATCCTGTCCTGGTGCTGCACCACTCTGAATGAGAAAGTTCTTCCTCATATCCAACTTGAAAATGCCCTCTTGCAATTAAGCCCATTATTTTTTGTCCTGTCCCCTGTAGACTCAGAAACGAGGCCCTCACCATCCTCTTTATAGCCACCCTTCAGGTATTTCCAGACTGTAATCAAATCCCATCTCAGCCTTCTCTTCTCTTGGCTCAGTAATCCCAATTTCTTCAGCCTCTGATCTTGTGCTATGCTTTCTAGGCCCTTAGTTGTTGTTGTTGCTCTCCTCTGAATACTTTCCAGCTTGTCTATGCCTCTGCTGCCAGTGAGGGAGCCTGGGCTAAATTGTGTCTTAACCTGGAGGAGTTTTCGGGGAGGGAGAGCCATGTGGGTCAAGAGTATGGGCCAGGTTGGTTCCCCTTCCCCATGAGGGCCTGACTGATGGAACTAGGACCCCACTAGGACTGTGTTGCACAATAGGCTGCCTGACTCCCCAGATGCCACCTTGCTACATGGGGGCAGCTAAGGGAGAGGGTCTCCCTCATGGCTGTGCCTGCCGTGTCTCTGCAGGGGAGCCCACCACACCTCGTTGGACCAGAGTTCCCCTCCCCAGACAGGAAGCCCGGGAACACCACCATCCTACAAACTCCCCTTGCTTGGCACCTATGACAGCAGAGACGACTTCCCGCTTCGGAAAACAGGTGAGTCTTACTGCAGGGTGGGGAGGGCAGGGAGTCAGATGGCTGGATGCCTGCCTGAGATGTGGTGGGAGGGTCACAATCCAGCAGTCCTGGTGCAGGTGTCACAGTGACCCATCACAAGGGCTACAGTCTGAGTGAAGAGGTCAAGATCCAGCAGACTGCAGAGACTAGATTAACTCCTGTGTCCAGTGGGAGGCACAGTTGTTGCTGACATGACTTCATCATAGCATGCAGAAGGCTGTCATTACTTGTACAGTGTCTAACAGTCAGCTTCTACCAGAGCTTGGTACACTGGGAGCTGGGCTCATTTGGAGAACTAGCTCCTCCCTAGGGCCACAAAGCCCAAGGCACAGAAAGCCCAGCTCCTAGGTACAGAGCTCCATGCTCTGTTAAACACGAGATTGTATCCCACAGCAGCTACTGAGCAGTCATCAGCAGAGGATCCCTGAGGTCCTCCTTACAACCCTGAGTTGGATTTGAACCTGCAGCCCAGAGGCCCCAGGTTCAGTCTGAAGGCAGGACTTCTACAAGTGGGTGATTCTGTTGTGAGGAGAAACCCAGCTGCCACCCACCCATAGCTCACCCCTGGGAGCCAGGGCACCTGCTGTGAGCCAGGCCAGGGGTGGGTGCAGGGCCAGATATATGGCAAAGGCTGGCAGGACAAAGGAAGAGGAGGAGGAAAGTGGTTGAGGGTATTGGATGGGGGGTATCAGAGGGTTAATCCGGCTTTCCCTTGTCTCTCCAGCCTCCGAACCCAATTTAAAAGTGCGCTCACGGTTAAAACAGAAGGTGGCGGAGAGGAGGAGCAGTCCCCTGCTGCGCAGGAAAGATGGGACCGTCATCAGCACGTTCAAGAAGAGAGCAATCGAGATTACGGGTGAGCAGCAGGCACAGGGGTAGCAGGGCATGGGCCCTGACCACAGAAGTTTCTGGGTGGCACCCTCAGGGCCCCATGATTGCACAGGGCTTTCTCCAGATTGACAGGATCCTGCAGGTGGCCTGTGGTTCCATGGGCTGAGAACCTCTTGAGGCTACTGTGAGATCTGTGCTCAGGCTGGAGGCGATGGGCTCCAGGTGGCAGAGGGCCTTGTAGATGGAACATTAAGCTAAGCATCCAGATTCCTGGGTTCTCTCTGCAGGTGATTTGCTTTAGTGGCAAGTTGCTTTCCCTGCCCATGTCTCTGTTTCCCCATCTGTAAAACAGGCAAGGTGATGCTGATGGGTCTCTGTGGTAGGCTGTGGGGTCTCTGTGCAGACTAGGGGCCAGTGTTCTGAATCATTCTGACCATGGACTCTCAAGCAGAGCTGCCCTTTAGATGCATCCAGAACAGCCACCTGGAGAGCTGCCTGAGCTGCTGCTCCCTGATGCAGTAGGGATCTGGTGCCATCCAGCCTTGGCATCCTCCACAGATGGGGATGCTCAGAGCCAGGAAACTAGCTCATGTCCTTCTTCATCCTGCAGGAAGTCAGACCTGCAGTAGGATGCTTACTGGGACACAGGGCCATCCGAGCTGGTTAAGCTGGGACCAGTGTTTTTTGGTCTGACTAGAGATGGCCTTGTATTCCTGATGGGGTGCTGACCCTGCAGCAGCAGGCTAGGTGTAGATCCTCTACAGGAAGCAGCAGGGAGCTGCCCTCCGCCCCACCTAACCCACAAACACCAACTGGGTGAAGGCTGTACTGGGACTCAGCCTACTCTGGGGGAACCTGCTTGACCATGCGCAGCTGTCTCTTGGACTGTCTGTGTACACACTGTGTGCCTGATAGGGACATGCCAGGCCCTTGCCTGTGTGCACAGATCATGTGACCAGGCAGCACATGGCAGCCAAGAGCTGGTTGTGTGCAGGCTCATATGGAGTACTTGGTCTGTGCCTGTGATGGCTGCATATGTGCTCACACCAGTTAAGCCATCCAGAGTGTCCATGGGCTCAGACCCCAGGCCTGTCTATGGGGCACTGCTTATCATTGTATAGTTATGCTGGTATAAACCCCGTGTGGACTCTTCTAGTCCAGTATATACTGGCTTGACTCTAGTGATGAAAAGTCACCTAAGCTGGGTGGTTCCCATGCTTTTTGGACCAAGAGGCTGTCATGCGCCTCAACAGCATTCACCCTTATCCATCTGCTAACTGAGAAGGGGGCACCTTGTGGTTTCTGTGGCCTGCAGATTGCAGTGTGGGTTATGCTGTAGACAGTTCCTCCTTGACAAGGCTTCAGGCCAAGCCAGTGGCTTGGGGGAAATGCCGGAAGCTTATATATTCTCCAGTTGTCTGTTCCTCAGCCTCGGGTTTGCCTGCCCCGAGCAAGGGGTCTCTGTACAGACAAGGCAGAGCCCTGCCTACAGCAAAGCTTCTCCCTTGTCTTGCTGTTGTACTGAGGGAATCACCCCAAAGCCAGTTGCTCAATGTGTGCGTGCGTGCGTGCGTGCGTGCGTGCACACATGCAATGGAGTACCCCAGAACCTAGATGCCTCTCCAAGGAGGCATTTTAGGTGGAGACAGGATGCCAGGGGCAGACACCTTGGCATGGCTAGCATGCAACACCAGCCACATTTGGGAATCAACCCAGGGCTGCCAACTGTAGCAGCTGTCAAGAGGCACCATCTGCCTGAGGATCAAGAGAAGCAGCATAGAAACTTCTGGGCCAGATCCTCTTGAGCTGCTGGTGTAACCCAGCAGAGCTCCAGCACACTGCATGGAGTGAGAGTCCTTGGCTGGTGCCAGCCAGCACAGTCCATGAAGTGGTGCTCCAGCTATGGATCTGTCCTCCACATGGCAACCCCAGAGGGTGCTGTGATGGAGGAAGTGGGGGACTGGTGGAGCTTGCAGAGGAAGGCAAGAACTAGAAGGCAGAACTGGTGCTTGGCTTTTTGCCTGTCCAGGTTGGGGGGCTATGCTTGGCTGAGTGTGTCCCTGTGGGTGCCCAGGCACTGTAGCAGCAGTTTCTGGCTGGATAGGCATACTCAGGTCCCAGACATAACCTGCCAGGAGTAGGCATGTGTGTGGATTTCTCCCCTGGGTACATTGGATCCAGAACCATGTTAAAGCTCCAGCTGTGTCCCTGCCCTGGCCCTGCGTGGTCCCTTGCACTAGTGCAAGATGTTGCTCAGCAGCCTTCAGCCTGGTCCAGGTGTGCCTGCCTGCAGAGAGGGATGCAGCTGTGGGGAGGACAAGGGGCTTAAGGCCAGCAGCAACTATGCCTCATGTGGGACTGTATCGACTACAGCCGACAGGCCTTGCAGGAATTGTACAGCAGGTGGGGAGCAGCGATGACCGCCCTGGAGCACAAGTGCTGAATGTGGCTCCAGAGGTCTGTGCCCTGCCCCGACTCTCCAACCTTCCCCTTGTCCGTCCTGTGGGCCCAGGAATTGGGACTAGCTGCTGATAATTGTGCTTCACCCTTTCCTTCACTCAGTGGTGTTAATGGATTCAACCCTCGCAGCCCTAGCCCTATCAGGGGAAGTGGTATCCCTCCTTTGCAGATGCGAAAGCAAAGGCACAGAGAGGGGAAGTGACTGAATTGTTGTCTAAGCTGAGAGCAGACCCCCACCTAGGTCTCTTCTGTCCCCAGCTCCCTTCCTTTGCCTGCTGCCCCCTGGTTCCCATTGGCAGGTGCTCTGTAGCCCCCTCTGCTTAGTTAGGGCAGGGGTCCCTTCTTATCCTGTAGATTGTGCAGGGGAGGAGCACCTGGCTGATGCTGAACCTGTGATGCAGGTTGAGCTTGGGTGGAGGGCAAAAATGGCAGGGCTTAACACCCTGGCTGTGTGGGGCTTCCGGCTGAGTGTATCTGTGGTCTAGAAGCTCTGGAGCATCCCTAGGGAGCAGGTATCAGTGCCAGGAGCTGATGTGTGCATCTCTGTTTCCTTTGCAGTGTCCTCGGTGTGTAACAGTGCCCCGGGATCTGGCCCCAGCTCCCCCAACAGCTCCAACAGCACCATCGCTGAAAACGGCTTCACCGGCTCTGTGCCCAACATCCACACTGAGGTTTGCAGGGTGGTTCACACCCCATGCCCCTTCCCCAGGCCCCATGGATTTCCTCAGCCCTTAGGAGCATGGGAGACCCCTTTGCCTAGTGGGCAAGTGTTCTGAGCCCTGGTGGGTATATGCTGGGATATGGCATGCCCTGTGCTGTCCTAATTGCCTGGTCTGGGCTTCTGTGTAGCTCTTTTAACCACAAGGGCAACTCCATCACCCTGTCTGGTACCTAAACAGATCATTTAACCAGGTCAGTGAGGCTGATGATGTAACTGTGGTCCAAAGGGGCTTGGACACTCCCGTGCAGGTTGTGGGTATTAAACACAGCAGTTACAGATGCAAGTTCCACACGAGGCCTTCCTAGGCCTTTGGGTGCTGGAATACTGCAAGGAGAGAAGGGCAAGGGACAGATCAGTCTGCACAGGCCCTGCATAAATACTCTTTATTCCAGGTCAGGAGTTGATATTGGGGTGAAAGGTCAGCTGACCCTGGCTGGCCACACCGATGGTAGGGAGTGGATCTATGGCTAGGCCCAGGTAGTGTTCTGACCACCTGGTGTTAGGCAGGACCTGGAGCTAGATGGGCCTGTCACTTGACCCAGAATGGCAGCTCTTATGTTCTTAAGTATTCCCAGTGTGGAGGAGCATGAAGGGAGGAAGGGCTTTTGGGCATTGCTGAGCGTGAGCTTCCTTTTACACTGCTCACACATCACACACCCAAAGCACACCTGTGTTTGTGGCACGTTGCCTGAGGCCCCACATCTCCAGGTAGGTGCAAGACAATGGACAAGATGTCCCATAGGAGCCACAGGAATCCTGTTCACAGGTGGCTTTGAGTGGCAGCATGGGGGAATAGCTCTGGGATGACTTGTGGCTTTCAGCTGGGGCTGGGAGAATGAGAAGAGCATTTTGTATCTCTGGTTGGGATGTTGGCATTAATTATATACACACATAGGTTGCTTTGAAAACAAGCCTGCATCCCAGCTAGACACCATCCAGGCCCTCCCTAGGCGCCTCCCTCAGTGACCTTCCATGGTCACTCAGGGTAAATGAGGAGCTGTTTCAGGCTCATTTCCTATTTCCACACAGTGCTGCCCTGTCTCAACGGAAATGAGTGAAAGCAAGTCAAAATACCATTTGGATTCCAATACAGTCCAATAAAGAAATAGTCATTCTGGGTTGGCAGTTTGCTAGAGGCAAATTACCTGCACCCTTGCCACCTAATGGTGAAGCATAGCAGTAGCCATCTACTGCAGGCAGCTGCATGTCTGCTGCTTGTCGTCCCAGTGTACTCCACGTGAGTGTACAAACCTACGTTATCTGCCTCAGGGTATGGTCTGTCTGTCCATGTCCTCTCTCTCAGCACCAGGCCTGAAATAGGGGGTGTAGATGGGACACTGACTGTTCAATGATGGGAGGGGGTGGTAGTCCAGGCCCTAAAATGTACATTCCATTCCTGAGACAGGGGTGCGAGTCCATGCATCAGTTTCCTGCTGGGGCTTGTCACTGGCACCTTTTTCCCTGGGACTGGCCTTGAAGCACAGCTGGCACATTGTGCTCAGGTTCCCTGCAGATCTGTCCTGGCCTCCCATACAGTCTGACCTCCCTGGTGCTTTAGTAAGGAGTCCTTGCAGATGTCAGTGTCATAGAACCTGTTAGGATGTCTGCAGATGTCAAGGCCAGACCCCAGCCCATCAGTATTCTCAGATGGGGTCCCTGCTGTTTGCTCTCCAGAGCTGCATGTGTTGGTGAACTCTGGCTTGTCAGATCTGGACTGTGGTTGGACGCAGCTGACTGCTGTGATATAGGGGCATTCTTGGCATGGATGGGGAGGTTCAAGGCCTTCTGTTTCCCAGCCTCAAAGGGGTTTGTGGGATAGAAGCCACGCCTGAGGAGTGCACTCTTACAGGTGGAATATTACCCTGAGTGGGGCAGGGATTGAGACCACTGGGGGCCCAGTGTGTCCAGGGCAGGCAGCTCTCAGGGAGTTGGAACAAGGCTGGCGCTCCACTGGCCCAGAGGAGCCAGCCACCAGGTTTAACCTTGATGTGGCTGTGGACAGCACTGGGAGCTGCAGAGCTATCTCTGCCTTGCATCCCAATCAGGCTGAGCCTCTGCTCCCTGCTGCTGCAGTGGGGATCTGATGCCAGCTCACTGCCAGGAGCTGGCCAAAGAAGAGATAAGGGTTCCTGCACCCAGTAGATTGGGGTGACGGTGCCCAGCACAAAGTGGGTGGGAAAAATATCTTTCTAGGGGCATCTTTGGGGGGGGGGCAGCATGGAATAAAGACTGGGGCGGCCCATCCTGCCATAGGCTGGGGGATCCTGCTGTGCCCCATCCTCAATGAAGTGTGGGTAGAAGGGTGCCTGCAGGGGTGGAAGGGGCATGTTCTCCAGGGCATTAGGGGCCAGCAGGGAGATGTTCTCCAGGGCTGGAAGGGATGGGTTGGTGTGAGAGATGCTGTTGGGGCTCTAGGGCTGGATAGGTGTGGGGAAGATGTTCTCTGGGGCTGCTCAGGTCAGGGTGGGGGGCCATTCTCAGGGGCACTAGGAGCAAGGTGGGGGATGTTCCCCAGTGTGCTAGGAACAGTGCTGGGGACATTTGTTCATGGACTGTCCCTGGATTAAGGCCAGGGCCTAATCAGGGAGTATTCCCCTTGGATGAGCTGCCAGTGATGAGTTCCTGCCTCCTAGCCCTTTGGATTGAGCTAGTCAGGGGACAGTCAGGGACCCCCCTGCCTCAGGTCTGCCCAGTGGGTTGGTGACCCAGGCACAGCCATCCTATCAATGTACCAAGGATGTAGCAGTGCAGCATCCCTGCCTCCTGGACCAGGGCTGCTCCATTCCTTCATCCTTTCAGGTTTATTTGGCCTTTTTCCTCTTGATGCTGAACAAAAGCCTGATAATCCCTGTCTGGATGTTGCCCCTCCCTCTGTCCCTCCCTAGTTCTGCCTTTGGTGGCAGGGAGCTCCCCCTGCTGGCCAGTGCTTTGCTTGCAGAGCCTGTCACACCACTTTTCAGCAGGCGTGGCCTTGGCTGCAGCAATGCTCCCAGGGGACTCTGGCTTGCACTGTCCTCTTGCCTCCCTTCTCACCTCTGTGTGCTCCTTCCTTCCTGCAGCAGATGCTGCCCCAGCACCGAGCCCTCACTGTGGATGGGACAGCGAGCCAGCTCAGCCTGTACACCTCCCCCTCGCTCCCCAACATCTCCCTGGGGTTGCAGGCCACCGTCACCGTGACTAACTCCCACCTTAATGTGAGTACGGATGCCGTGCCCACCTCCTCTGTGCCCCCTGCCCCAGGGCAGCAGCTGTGGTTAAACTAACTAGTCCCTGATCCAGGAGCTCCTGAGTCCTGTCACTGGCCCAACCCTGGCTCCTAGCACAGCCATGGACCAACCATGCCACACTCTGTGCCTCAGTTTCCCCCATCCGTCAGCAGCAGAGAGCTCTTTGCTTCGGGGTAGAAGCAAAAGGCACTTGCAACCTGTGAACCCTCCAGTGGGTTATCCAATTCTCTGTTTCCCAGATGGGACAGCCCAGATCTGGAGGGGCTGTTTGTCCACAGTCAGGCACGGAACTGAGGCAGAGGGTGGGCAGCCAGGGGGCGTTTCCTGGAATGTTTCCTGCTGTACCTTGAGGCCAGCCCTGGACTTCTGGAAGGCACCACTGTGGAGAACCAGGAGCTGGGGCACCTGGCCACGGTGGGGAAGTTCTCAGGTCCATGTCCCTGCTCCAAATCAGATAGAATAAGGACTGAGATCTAGGTCTCAGGCAAGCCCCCTCACACAGGGGCTCTTTGGAGCAGCTTGGATCAGGCATTCCACTCTGGTCGTGGAGCCTGCACCATCAAAACCAGCCTGTTCCAGCTGAGAGGCTCAGTTTTGATGCATCACAAACTGTTCTGTCATTGAATCCCCTGGGGAGTCCTGAGCCCAAACCCCAGTGCTGTCCATGTGCCAAGAGGTGCCTTGCCCCTCACCCATTCTGGAGAGTTGTTGAGGGGCTGCTAGCCTTATGCTGATCATGGAGAATTGCTGCAGCTTTAGCAGAGTCCTGACCCCACTCTGAGCCCCTGTGCTGGCTGCTAACACATGGCCTGGCCTGCTGGGGTCCAATATTGCCAGAAGTTGTTTGTAGTCTCTCTGCAGCCTGCCCTGCCATTGCTTTGCCTGGAGTTCCTCTCTGTATTGTGCTCTGTTGGCCTGTGGATGGCTACACCCATGCCCAGCGAGGCTCCAAGCTGCTCCCAGCTGTAGATCCCAGGGCAGGATTCAAGCCAGGACTGGTGACTAGCTCATGTCCCCCCACCCTGATCACTGTTCCTGTCTTTCCCACAGGCCTCCCCAAAGCTCTCTACACAGCAGGAGGCAGAGCGCCAAGCCATCCAGTCACTGCGCCAGGGTGGCGCGTTGACAGGAAAGTTCATGAGCACCTCATCCATCCCTGGCTGCCTGCTGGGGGTGGCGCTGGAGGGTGACACCAACAGCCATGGGCACTCCTCCCTGCTCCAGCATGTCCTGCTCCTCGAACAGGCACGGCAGCAGAACACGCTGATCGCTGGTGAGCTTGGTGCAGGGGGTATCTGAGGGTCGCAGACGGATTGTAGGGCCCAGGCAGGGGGCAGCTGCCTCCTTTCCAGGGGGTTCTCTTGTTGTTCCGGTAGGGAAACTGAAGCACAGAGGGAGAGATGACTCTTCTGAGGCTGCCTACTGACTCTGTGGCAGAGCGGGGGATGGAACCCAGGTGTCCTGTCACAGGGTCCCCACTGCAGTGCCCAGACTTTGTCCCCCTTCCCTCACAGTGGAGGGATTCCTCAGTGCAGAGCATCCTTGGGGTTGGAGCCTCGAGTCTTTAGGATGGGAATTGGGAGGCTGGAGCAGGGTCCCCTCCATGGCCTCAGCCAGATCATTTCAGGCCCCTCAGTCACCCTTTCTGGGAAAGCCCTGGGCATCTTCTGGCCACTTAACTAATGCAGCCTCTCAGTGCCCTGGTTGCAGTTTGACCTCTGTTGCACTAAAGCACAGAATGTGAGGTCACTTGGCTGCCTAGCACCATAGCAAGGGTAGAACACAGGTGTTTGGGGCCCTGTTTCCATTGCCCTGTAGAGCTGGCCTTTAGCTGTGGCCATCCCCTCTTCAGCCTGACCCTCTGTGCCCCTTCCTGGCAGTGCCGCTCCACGGCCAGTCCCCACTGGTGACGGGTGAGCGCATCTCCACCAACATGCGGACGGTGAACAAGCTGCCCCGGCATCGCCCGCTGAGCCGCACCCAGTCCTCGCCACTGCCCCAGAGCCCCCAGGCCCTGCAGCAGCTGGTCATGCAGCAGCAGCACCAGCAGTTCCTGGAGAAGCAGAAGCAGCAGCAACAGCAGCAGATTCAGCTTGGCAAGGTGGGCAAGGAGCAGGGGCTGGGCAAGGCATGGCAGTATTGGGTCAACCTGGGACCGTGCTGCCTTGGGTAGGGGGCAGCAGTACCAGGGAGACACCCTTGTGCTCTGTGCCACTCTGGGCATGAGCATGGCAGCAATGGCCAGGCAGAGCTGGGTTGGATCATCCTGGAATAGCCACCCTGAGCATGGAGGCAGCAGCCACAGACATGTGCCCCCTGGTCATGGCAGCTGTACCAGGGACACAGAGATATGCCCCCCTGGCCTGAAGGTAGGGCACAAGCACTGCCTCGCAGAGCATGCCCTGTGCACAAGCAAAGACGTGGTCTCTGGTACCCTTTGAGCTCACTGCCCCCTTTGCCCTTTCTTCAAAGATCATCACCAAGACAGGGGAGCTGCCCCGCCAGCCCACCACACACCCAGAGGAGACGGAGGAGGAGCTGACAGAGCAGCAAGAAGGGCCGCTGGAGGAGCCGGTGCCCCTGGGGCAGGGCTCCTTTGCTGTGGATGGCTCCACGGAGAGTGAGAGCACGCAGGACGACTTGGAGGAGGACGATGGTTGTGTTCCACTGAAAGACGATGCAGGCGAGAGTGGGGCTGAGGAGGAGCACACTGAGGTTCAGGACGTGGCCTACAAGCAGGTGAGCTCCTCCTTGCTATGCCCTGGCTTCGTGCTCCTTCCCCAGCTGACATCTTTGGCAGGATTTGAATGCATGGCCTCAGAGCCCTCAAAGGCTGGGCCTGCTAAAAGAGCTGCTGTACAAGCTGGTAGCAGTAGCAGGCTCATCTCCTCTGCCACATGCCTGCTGTCCAAAGGGAACGTTGTGTGCGTGGGTTATGCCAGCGTAGGTGCCACTGGCCCAGAGGCCAAGTCTCCTGTAGAGCACTGCCAGGTTCGTGCGTTTTTGGGTAGGACATAGCTAGAACAGGGCAGCTGTTTGTGCCTGGGTATTCTTGCAGCCCTTGCCCATCTCCATGGTACCTGTGCAGCGGGGGGGACAGGGAGAGCAGGGAAAGGGGTGGGGGGCTGCAGCTCTGGCCCCCAGTGCCATTCATTCTCTATGCTGCCTCATGAAGGACCTAACTAGTTCCTGTCACCACTTTACCCTTGTGTAGCTTCCTTTCCTCCTAGGATGCCACCCTCCCCCCGCTCCCCCCAACTCCCTTGTACTGTGTGGGTTTTATACTGGCCAGTGTGAGAAATCTAGGGAACAAGGAATGGGCTTACCCAGGCTGGTTGAGCCCAGAAGATTGTCTTAGACATGGCTTGGACAGCTTAGATGTGGGTTGGACATACTCCCTAGGATCCCAGCGGGTCCTAGGGGTGGCTCTGTGTGTGCTTGCTTGCACATGCAGCTGGGGGAAGCAGACAGTGGCAGGGAAAGGCCTGGTCACTTGGGAGTGACTGGTGCTGTAACATGTCCTGCTCCCTGTCCCCCTACATAGGCCAGTGGGACCAAGCTTCTGTGTAAACGGTGCCCTCGTGCACCCCTCATACACTCAGGCCCTGCCACAAGCACTCTCTAAAGTCCCTCCACGCCACCCTCATGCATGAGCATGGCTACTCTTGTTACACACGCTGCTGTTGTGCACCAGGCACACGTGTGCACTCAGAGCAGCACAAGGCTCCACCCATTGCCTTGTACACATGCCCCCTCTCATCCGTGTTGCCAGAGCCAGTGAACAGGGAAGTTGGTCCGTTCTCCCTTGCAGCTCTGTGTGAGCCCAGTGGCTGGAAAATTTGCTCCCACTTGTCTTTGAAGTCTCTCCCCTTCACTGGGGACTGCAGCAGAGCTGACTTGGAGGGGAGTGTGACTCATCTCCACCCCCACACACCCGCCATGCCCCCCCCTCCACCCCCACATGCACACACCTCCTGCATCATCCCCAGCTGCCACTTCCTGGCCATGACTCATCGAGGCTTCTGTTTCCCCTCTGCTTTCCAACCCCACCCCCTGCTAAATGTGTTATCAGCCTTGCCTCCCTGTCCTCGGAGGGAAGAGATTTGTGAAAGGGAAGTGGACCAAGGAGGAGCACTTGGATCAGAAGCTGGCAGGGAACAAGGAAGGGCTGTTCATTGTCTGTGGTGCTACCCAGAGGGTTGTGGCCCATGCCTCAGCGTTCCCCAGCTAGCCCCACTCAGGATCCAGCTGGGTACCTGTGTGTTGCTGGAGAGGGAGAGATGGGGCTGCCATAGAGATTTGGATGCCCACTGCCCAGGGGGTTTGGACACTCACTCCTGGTTTTCTTGGTGAACAGCTTTGAGCGGCTCAGTGTGGCCTTGGGGCCACACAGGGAGTCTGTGGTAGAGCAAGGGGCAGGGCCAGGGGCTGATCCCTCACCTGAATCCTGGGTTTCAGTTGAGCAGCATTTGTGTTTCAGTCTCTAGCACTCTGCCATTCCATGGCTGGCTGCAGAGAGCAGCAGGTCACAAGAGATGGGCCTGAGTGACCATAGGCAAAGCCAACCTGGTACCCCTGTGAGTCTTGCCACCTGCCCCTGAGGGTGGGTGAATGTCAGGTGCCCTGGCTTGGAGGTTGTGAGAGGTCAGCGTGAAAGGCTCTCCTGGATACGAGACAGGGCAGTGCTGAGCAGGTTCTGTCAGGAGTGGGTGACTTGAGCCCAGGGGTGCTGTCTTACCCTGGGCATTGTGTGTCCTGAATCTGCTGGGCTTCTGTGCTTCATTGTCATCTACCTGGAGGCTGCAGCTAAGAGCGGCACATGGTGCTGTATACGCCTGTGCCAGTCTTAGCTCTGAAGGGCAGACGTGCTTAATAGGCAGGGGATGGCAAAGGTCAGAGGGTATTGGCAGCACAGTGAGTGGTGGTGACCTACCATGAACAGATCCCATGGCCCAGCACGGTGCCCCCCGCAGCAGTGTCTGCCCTTCATGGGCATGGCAGCCTCGCACCAAGTGTAATTCTCCTTTTCTGTCCCCCATGGCGAATGGCCTGGCAGGTGTTCCCTGATGCCCAGCAGCTGCAGCCTGCCCAGCTGTACCAGGTGCCCCTGAGCATCATCACCCTGCCGCACCAAGCACTGAGCCGCACCCAGTCCTCGCCTGCCTCCTCAGGCATGAAGAGCACTGGAGCCGAGCCCCCGGTCAAACACCTCTTCACTACAGGTAAGGGGCCATGGGCCCAGTTCCTTCCAGGGGGGTGGCAGCTACAGGGGAGCACTCTTGAGCTCTGCCCATGGGCCAGGCCACACCCGCAGCCCATCTCACACCCATGGCTTAAGTCCCAGCCTCTTGTGGTGCCAAGTAAGGGCCCCTCTCAGGCAGCTGGGCAGATCTGTAGCCCGGGGCAGTCTGACTCCCTCTGAAGTGCCTTGATCAGTAGTGGAGCTGGTTGTTATCTGGTGTCCAAGTGGGATTCCACTTATTCCAAGTTCCTTGCAGATGGGGCTGCTGCACTCACCCCAGGGCCTATGTCACAGGTTTCCTTTGCAGCCCCCAGGGCCGGGCATCTTTGCCGGGTTTTAGCAGTGAAAATGTAAAGGGTCTCAGGGCAGAATCTGGTAGGGACCCACCAGAGAGTCTCAGACTGCCTGCTGCCTCCTCCAGGCAGCCTGATTGCCCTACAGGAGAGATGCCTGCCCCTTGCCCTTCCCTGCCAGACCCTGGAGTCTTGGCAATGAGGGGCAGAGGAAAGGAAGCAGGGAGGTTGCCTGGGGCTTAACACAGGGATTGACCCTGGAGCTGACAGTAGCTGACACGCTGTGTCTTACCCAAGTCTGCCACAGGCTTCCAGATGCCATACATGTCTCTCACCACCAAAGGAGAGACAGGGCTGTTTCATGGAGTTGGTGTGGGTTACTCAGGATAAATCCTTCCAGGACAGTCTCCAGGGATCTGGCCCAGGCAGCCCCCCCGTCCCCACTTCCTTCAACAGCCAGAGAGGTCTTGCTACTCCTACTGCCTAGTCAGGACATCCTGTTTTTTCCCGCAGGTGTGGTCTATGACACATTCATGCTAAAGCACCAATGTACGTGTGGGAACACTAACATTCACCCTGAGCATGCTGGGAGAATCCAGAGCATCTGGTCCAGGCTCCAGGAGACCGGCTTGCTGAGCAAGTGTGAGGTGAGACTGAAACCCAGGGGACTGGGATATAGCTCAAGTTGCAGGGCAGGGGACAGACGGACCTAAGAGCTGAAGGTGCAGGTATCTTAGGTTTGACTTGCTTGGGGCACCTGTAGCAGAATGGGTCACTCCCCGTGCAGGGCACTCCAGTATAAATGGATCCTTGGGGAGAGGAGGAACAGGTTGGCCTGGGGTGAGGAGAGGGGGCAGCATGAAAGCACTGTGCCACAGCCCTTCCTGCT